ACAGAAAGTGAGCGCATCCGAATATCTAAACAAACCTTGTGGAGTTGAACTAATTGCAAGTCAAAATCTTAGTTACAGACTCTAAGTCATATCAGAACACTCATTTTTTTATGCCATCAAAAGAATTCACCAATGCACTTGTCAGGAAAGCTAAACATTGGCGAATACGGTACTTCTGAATTTGATGAATCAGTAGGTTGAGACAGCTTGATTGTACCTTTCTCCATCAATTTTCCAAATATCTGTAATGATGATTTGCTCTGCAGCGTTATTGATTCATTTCTCTTGTTATTTTGGTTTTTACGAAGGGATTTCTCCGTCCAGCATCTACGTTTTCCCCTCCTCTTTTTATGTTCCTTTGGATACTGTACTTAACCAAATAATTATGATAAAATAATGTTTTTAGGATGCCAAAGTTTGCTGAGTTAGTTAGATGTTTTTAGGAAAAAAATAGAGGATCGAATGAAAAAACTAGGCCAGATTAAAGTAGATTTCTAGATGTATCTGATGTGTACATTTGATTTTGAGTTGAGGTATTTAATTCTTTTTCAAACTGGAAAAAGTGGTGTCCAGGTCAGTGTGGCCCAGTAGGCGACTGTGTCCCTTTAGTTAACTCTTTTTACCAGCAGCATCGGGTTATCTGTAATATTTAGAACTTGTGAGACTGATCTGCCTCGGTTGGAATAGCTGCAGGTCAGCCAGGATTGATTGTAAAAATTAATACTTTGTCATAAAACAAATAAATTATCATGTCCAAACTCCTTGCCTCATATACATGCTACATCTGCAAAACAAACTCCCACAAAAATTTGTGCCAAAGGTACAGTAAGTTTTAGCCTATCTTCCAGAGCTGGTCATGTTGAAACATTGACCAAGCACAGACTGCAGACTGTGCAGAGCGTGCAGACTGAATGTTAAATTTTTACTTGTATCTTAATTTTCTAGTAAAATGTTTACTATAGTTTCCTGCAGGAGCAAGCACGATGGAGGAAGGTAAGCTGTTTCTTTCTGTAACTGTATTATATTGCCACGATTATTTAATTTTTTAAGTAGAAGAAGCTTTTCAGTTCAGGTTAAGTGACTTAAAATAAAACGCTTTTCGCTTCCTACAACTCCCGAGAGAACATTTCCTCAATTTCCTTGATTGTTGATGATTGTCTTTAGTTTCACTCTGTAATACAAACCGGTGACTTGCCGTCATTTCTTCAAATCCAGTACAGATACCGATGTTATCGTTGTTAGCTCGGAAGATTCGCTAAGACTTTTGTTCACATATTTTTTTTATTCAATTCCCAAAGTGTCCTTCTTGGCTGGTTTTCACTCGGGGATCAACAATTGTATTTTGCTCCATGCACTCACGCCAATAAGTGGTAGTGGTTTGAAACTGACAATCTTGTCCAGTATCATGGTTCTTGTTTATGCAGTTCCAAAACTAAATAGTTCATTAGTAACAAATGTATTATTTATACAACTTCGAAAGATGTGGAGGAGGCTTGAATGCACCGTGTATTTTAGGCATATTTTATGTTAATTTTCATTGAATATTATCTGCGAGAAGTTAAAGTCACTGCCCTTCTCCTCTTAATTCTGACGTTCTGAACCGCTAAATACGCAGGGAATCAGAATATTTCTAAGGTAGATATACCGTTGATTTATTTACACATTTTAAAGCAAGGCCGAGCTAACAACGGCGACATCGGTATCTGTAAGAGTTGAAGAAATGGCGGCAAGACACGGTTTGAATTACAGAGTGAAACCAAACAAGGCAATCATCAACAATCAACGAAATTGAGGAAATGTCTCTCTAAGTAGCCATTGTAGGAAGGGTTTTATTTAAGTCACTTAACCTGAAAAAAAACTTCTTCTACTAAAAAGATTTGAATAATCGTTGGCAATATAATACAATTACAGAAAGAATCAGCTACCTTCCTCCATCGTGCTCGGCTCCTGCATGAAAGCGCCCAGCTAAAAGCGCACGCAAACTGCCTTTACATCTTCCGGTAAACATGAGCTCATGATTTTTCTCATTTCTTAGCCATGACCCTTGAAGGTACACATCGGTGCACATATGATAGTGATGCACAGTGCACATAATGAGAGGAAGGAAACTATAGTAAAAATTTTACTAGAAAATTAAGGTAAAAGTAAATTAATAACAGTCAGTCTGCACAGTCTGCAGTCTGCATGGTCTGCGTTTCAACATGACCGTCAGAGCTGTTCTCTTGTCCCTTCCAAGAAAGTTTCCTTAGGTAGTTGTATTCCGGATTCCGAATTTCACTATTCCAGATTCCCCTCTATGCGTAGCTTTCTAACAAATCCTCGACTTGCATTCAATTTCGAGATCAATTCCTTACAATACATGCTAAAAGAAGTTAAAATAGATCTTACCTCAATTGTCTTGAAACCGTAAGTTAAGAACTGGCGCTCCTTTTTCTCCTTCTAGACGCTTCTACGGTCGAAAACTTTTCACACAGCTCGTCTACATCTTAACGGTAAGTCTGTTGACGTCCGCTCCTTTCTCCGTTCTCTCGGCCACTTGCGCCCTCAAAACCTTGCTTCCCTTAATCGTGGCTTGTAATAACAAGAAGTAACGGTCCGAAAGAGAGATTTCTTGGCCAAGATCGACCGCGGACATGGCAGCAAAACAACAAAAAGTCGAAATTCCCGCCGCCTTCTTCGAAATGTGACAAAATATTTTCTCTCACGAAAAAAACGTGGACTTTGAGGTCATGTGATCTTGGTCTTTGTGTCACTCATGATGTCGAGGCTACGAGCCCGGTTACTAGGGAAACAGAAATGGTCTGTGCCATTGCGTTTTCTCCAGGATCTTTAGCTTCGCGGCCTCGCGGCAGAAATAACACAAACCTCTGAATGCATTTTGTATGCCTTGAGTTTGTTTCAAAAACAACGACGATTACGACAGACCTCTAATAAGTCTTATCGTATTCAGAATCTGCTGAACTGAGATTACTGAGAAGTCAATTTCCGTTGTAATATTCACAGACACCGGTTTCTTGCCAAAGTTGTTGCTGGTAAGATAATCAAAATAAAGCTGAGGGAATTCTTGGCAGGAAATGTTTGGACCCAAATAAAACACGGCGGTCAACGGCCTGTTTACACGTTGCTGATAACGATGGTAAAATGAGTTGCAAAACGCACTATTGAATCGCGTTTGCCAGGTGCTGAAAACGTGAAATGAACGGCATGTTTTCCTGGTGTTACCGCCGGTGAATGTTGAGTTTTCCGGGAGTTTTCCTTGTGTTACCCGAAGTCGGAAAAGGATTTAGGAACGTGATATTTTCACGACATTAACCGCGGTAAAATTTCCGCTTAACGAGAGAAAACGAGCTGTTCAACCCCGTTTTCCATGTGCTGGATAATGTGACATGAACAGCATATTTTCCCTCTGTTAAGTGATGGTGAATGCCAAGTTGTCCTTGTCTTTTCCGAAGTTGGAAAACGAGTCACGAACGCGATGTTTTCCTTACATTAACCGTTTGGTAAAATGTCCGGTTAACGAGAGAAAGCGCACTGTTCAACCACGTTTTCCGTGTGCTGGAAAAACGTGAAGTAAACAGCATATTTTCCTGGTGTTAACGGATTGTGAACGCCGAGTTTTCCTTTACGAATTCGAAATGAGAAAACAGATCGTGAACGTGGCATTTTCAATACATTAACCGTTTGGTAAAATCACCAGAAAACAGGAGATTTTGTGCCGTGGTAGGGTGGGGATTTGAGGAAACAGACTGCACACCCCCACCAAGAATTCTCAGGAGTACCCCCCGGCTTTGCTGCATTTTATCCTTTGTCCTAAACAAGGTAATAAAATTTATTGAGGGTCCTAAACAGGGTATGTATTTTAGGAATTTTTGGTCCTAAAGTGGGCCAGTTGCCTTAGCGGCTCACCTATACCCAAATATTAGTCGAGTACCCCCCGGAAATGATATCACTAGATCCATTCTAGAAAGAACTAGATATCACTTCGGATGTCCGGTCCACCCCACTTACTATGTTAGTTAACGAATGAATAAATGAATTAATTAAATGATTGATTAAACGTGCGGAACGATGGCCAATACTCTTCTCTGTGTGCAATAAAATAAAGTGCAAGATGATCGGATCAATCTAGAACAACGGTTTTAAAATATATATTATTTTGATATAAGAATCAACCACCTAATTAATGTCTTGAAAGCACTGTTAATCAAAAAAGATCTGTTTCAGCCCCAAAGTATCAATTCACCCACGCAGGCCCAAGTCTGCCGATTCAGCCTCTCCTGGAGCCATTTGAGCACAATTTAAACCAAAAAGAGCCCAATCAAATGCCTTTTTCAACCCACGCTAGGTCTCGTTTCAGACCGTGTGTTTAAATCAGCCCTAGATAATTACACTAATTATAGACCGAAAAACATAGTTCCGTATTTTACTAGCTTTTACTCACCGAAACGATCCTTTTACTGAGTAAAGGCTAAGACTATTAATTTCTTCAATTTTAAGTGAACTCTTTCATTCACCAATGGCGGCCCCTCAAGGACTCCTCAAAATCTTTCAAAGTAAAGAGAATTCGCACCTAAAACTATCAATACAATATTTGGGACACCATTTCAAGAGTATATATATACACTCTTTTTTTTTATAAGAATATATTTTATAAGAATATCGAGGCTGAAATTTGCGAAATTTTAAGAATATTTTAAGAATAAAGCCGAGGCTGAGATTTTGAAAAGGATAGATATAATTTTGTCTGTTGAAACATCTGTAAATACAATACAATTTTATGTTTTTAACTTAACCGTATAAAATTATTCCCTTCTCTGAACGGCGAAACTAGCCACCATACGAAAAAACCTGCACTAGCTATACCAAAATGTTCAACGCTAATGACAGTTCGATGAACGGTTCATGTAATACATGTACATATACCCCAATAAATTCTAAAACGGAAATGTCATAAGCTATAATTTAAGAATAATACAAGAATATTTTCAGCCTAAAATCGGCAGAAAAATAAGAATATTCAGCCTGGGCCGGAAAAACAACATTCTTATAAAAAAAAAGAGTGTATCAAAAATCAGCCAAATTCGACTAAGTACCGCGGTAGCAAGCCAAAGCTCGACTCCGATTTCGAACTTTACGCCTTCTACAGTTACTAAAAGTCATTTTATATCTATCTAAAAAATTACCGTTTGTTCCACTCTTCATGACGTGTACCATCGCCGTTGCTATCAATGAACCAAGCATGGCCAGGAATGCTAAGGCCAAAACCGCCATCATAGCAGATGACACACGCCGACCCATTGTCTTACTATTTCCTGTTGGTTGTTGCCGTCTTCTGTCATCTTGGGAGGTTTGGTTTGCTGCTTGGCTTTCCGTGGCGGGTGAAGACGGCTTATTGATTGACTGTATGTTATTGTAAAGGTGTTCATTGCTGGGTTCTGTTCTGTAATCACCGAACATACGCCGACCTGTCGCGATCTGATTTTCTGTCGGTTGTCGCTCTCTGCAATCTTGGCAACGGTTTGCTGCTGGAGCATCGATTGGTGAAGACGACCTATTGAACAACTCTATGTGATTGTAAAGATGCTCATCTCTTGTTTCTGTTCGGAACGCACTATTGGTTGCTGCCATCTGGCTTATCGGGAGCGGCGAAAACTAAGACCTCAGACGCGAAAAATTCAGACCCTCCGTCTCCTCAATTGACTCAAACCTAACTGCAGCCTTAAATTGTCTTGGCCGCTTTTATATCGTGCACGGAATTAGTATCAGCTAGTCCAATATATAAATAGAATCTGATTCATCAAGATTGCGTTACGTATTAATGGTAAAAAGCATGACCGATTGACTGAATTCCAATAGCAGCAGCACGCACTGGTGCAAAGGGAGACTGCATCTCATTATCACTTGTAAGCCGTGGTAAAATCGGATATGAAGATTCAGGGTATCAATGAATAGACAATCTACATTTTATTAATCTTCATTCCGTACCATAATGATCAATCATTCAATGTTTCCTTGAACCGACCGGTTTGCCCAAGTAAATAGTAGGCGCCAAAGTTGTCACAAGGTGAAACAACTTTATCCAAAGAAATATTCAATTAATCCTAGCCTTATCTCTGGTATTTTGGCGGCTTATACCGCTGGTCACCCAGGCTTGAAATATGACCATCGGCATTTTTTTGTAACCCCCAGTTCGGTATATAAGAATTTGTAACGAGCAAAAACGATTGTTTCTTTAATCTGCGAATGTGAAAGGAGTGAAAAAACACCAGTTTGATATCTCTCCAAGATAAGAGAGCCACACATAGGCGAGTGAAATTTGAGACAATTTAGAAATATCGGGAATAATATTTATGCCAAATATCACGTACAAATCGTGCTATCACAGCTATCATTTGTTTATACCCACAAAAGGTTTGTAATTTTAAGCAAGTAGGTATTTCAAATTAAGCTGAAACACCACTGCTCTAAGCCAATCAAATTGCAGAAATTTCTCATGTAGTAGTATAATCTTGCTTAATTCTGGGTTGTTTTCATTCGTGTCTTGGGCAATTTAGTTGATTTCATGGGCGCTTTCCATTTACGAAAAAAACCCGGAAATTTCGTTGGTAGCAAAAGTGGAATTTCCGTTGTTCCATTTGGTCGTAAACCCCGGTACGTGGCTGGGTGCCCGACCGTGGACCTGGAACTGGTACAAACTACAAGAAACGTAAATGGAACACGACATTCCGTTCGGAAATTCCAGCCGGGAAAACGGGAACACCTTTTTAGATTTTTCACTTTCTCTGGGAATTTTCCAGTGGGAAGAACCGACGAAACGTGTTCCATTTACCGCCGAACCGGAAATTCCGGAAATTTTGACTATAAATGGAAAGCGCCCCATGTTTCCACTTGACGTTTCACTCATGCAGATCAAACAAGGTCAATCCTTTTCTATCGACAGTTTTCTTAATGTTTTTACCTTTTTAATGGCTTTGTCAACATAAGTGTTATTCATAGCAGATGACACACGCCGAAGCATCGTCTTACTATTTCCTATTGGTTGTTGCCCTCTTCTGTCATCTTGGGAGGTTTGGTTTGCTGCTTGGCTTTCGGTGGCGGGTGAAGACGGCTTATTGATTGACTGTATGTTATTGTAAAGGTGTTCATTGTTGGATTCTGTTATGTAATCACTGAACATACGCCGACCTGTCGCGATCTGATTTTCTGTCGGTTGTCGCTCTCTGCAATCTTGGCAACGGTTTGCTGCTGGAGCATCGATTGGTGAAGACGACCTATTGAACAACTCTATGTGATTGTAAAGATGCTCATCTCTTGTTTCTGTTCTGAATGCACTATTAGTTGCTGCCATCTGGCTTATCGGGAGCGTCGAAAACTAAGACCTCAGATGCGAAAAATTCAGACCCCGTCTCCTTGTTGTAACAAGTTATTAGTATTATTTTTCGTAATTGTTGAACAGTTGATTTTGCCTTGCAAGTAGAAAATTATCTTAGGCGTGTAACCACATTCTATGACGAATAATAGAATTGACTCGGTTTGTTTTTATCAACCTTAGTGGTTTTGATTGTAATCGGTTTATGCGCGGTAAATAATAATTAAGGTAGATAATGTGGGATATGTTAAGGAAATAGGTATCACGCTCATGTTTGAGATCGCAACAAATAATAGTGAGCCTTTGCCAAGTTCGGTTTGCGGCCGGACATACGTAGTTAAGGCGTTTACTTGTGGTAACCATAAAACTAGTGAGCATTGTAATTTTGAGTAGAACGTTTAGAACGATTGTGATGTACGAATGAACGAACGAAATAAAGCGAAAAAAGTGAAAGATACAGTCCTGATTGTTTGTTGAACCAGCGGACGCGGAGATATTCCAAACGCAGTGGAACATGACGGGCTTTGCTCACCAAAAAAAATTATGCAAATTAGGCTAAGGGTAGATTGAATCTACCCATGGCTTATGATTAACTGAAACGGGAGATCACAATTCGCGCCTTCATACGACTGAGGTGTTACTTTGGAATCCTCGGTAAGTACTTTTTTCGCACTTGCCGGCATCCAAAAACACCCGGCGTGGGAATCACGAGACGTGTAAATAAGACATTTCTTGACATAATAAAAAGGTTTTCCAGATACGGACGCGCATTTGTTGGCTTTACTCGCGTGGAGACACACGTCAACTGTTACTTCTCACGCGAAATAGTATTCAAGGCATGGCTCTACTGTAAAAAAAACCCGCTCTTTATTGATCGTACAACCATAATTATAGCAGGCGATAGCAAGAGAAATAACTATCACTCGAATGGGATAATCGAAGATCAAGAACCAAACCTTAACGAGAGCGGGGTTTATATCTGTTACTAAAGAGAAATTGAAAATGAAACATAAACCCTTTGCCGACTCAGAAAATATTACGAGAAGCTGAGGTTTACCACCCGAGAAACATTTTAATGACGGCCTAAATCTATTCTTACGGGAGGAATGAAATTATTTGCAATTATGTCGATCGAACAGTATACTATCTTCTTTCTATTACTGTGTAGTCGGCTGGAACATTACACAAAACGGCGTCAGCGACGAGGTTCGATGTGATAAATTAAGTACATTTACTTACCTGTGATAAATTAATGTTTACTCAATGAGAATGATTTAATACCAGAGAAACTACGATTCCCGAAACAGGAACATTTGGAATTCTTGGACATCAGTAACTACAACTGACTTATAACCCCATAACAGCTTCATTTTAATAGCGACTTGATTCTATAATAATAAACCGTGAGATCTAACGCAAAGCTCACAGGGCACGGCGAAGGGAAGGTAACCAGAGGGTTTGAAGTAATCTCGGGAAGTTAACCCTAAGATTCTATTTTGCTAAAGTAATGCTTTGATTTATTTAACGTACGATAATTGACTCGGTTGTGTTTAACAAACACATTTTTTTGCAACCCAAGCTTCTTAATTAAGCCAGAGAAGGGAATTTTTTGTCGTCGATTTTCATTGACAAAATCATTTGTAAGAACTAATAGACATGTGAGTGTTATAACTTTTCATTTGACGTTTTACAGTACGGATAGCTCGGTAACAAGCGACAAGATAATTTCATTTTTACATAATATATTAGCATCGTTTTACGGTGGCCCACAAGTGCACACCGAATTCCAGAAAGTCACACCGAATTCAAATAACTCACACCGAATTCAAATAACTCACACCGAATTCAAATAAGTCACACCGAATTCAAATAACTCACACCGAATTCAAATAACTCACACCGAATTCGAATAAACTCACACCGAATTCGAATAACTCACACCGAATTCGAATAAACTCACACCGAATTCAAGTAACGAGCGACGCCTGGGTACGAGCAGTCAAGTGACTGCAAGGTATCCTGGTACCAATCCCGGTATCCTCTTCTTCTTATTCTTCTTCCCTGGAGTTCTTCCCGCTCCCGCCATGTTCTGTTCGAGCTGTGGATGTGCGTTGGAAGAGGGGGACAATTTTTGCTCCAAGTGTGGTGCAGGTAAGTGTATACAAGCCTTTCATACCGTAATTTACAGACTTAAGCAGCTACACCTATACAGCGGTGATTCCCTCGTCTGTTGCAGGGCTCGACGTTGCGACCCGTGGGGTCGCCAATGCGCCCAGCTTTTACTCAGTGGCGACCAAATTTTCACCCCTGGTCGCCAACCTGGCCCCCAAGATAGGTGACTATCTTCTTTGAGAAAACGTACACTAACGATAATCCGTTATCCTTCACACAACTAAATCCATTAATTCTTAAATATAATTTTTGGCAACCAGAATACTTGTTCTGGCGACAAAAATGAAAACTTGGGGGCCAGCTGGCCCCAAGATTTTTTTTCTGAAAGTCGAGCACTGTGTTGACTCACTTTGGATAGGGATAGTCGTGGAATGAAAATATAAATGAAATGTATCCTTATGTTTAAAAGCGCAACCATGCAGATGCGATTTTTATAATAGAGGATTGCACAAGTCACAATTTTGATACACATTAGTGGTCATTTCAATGGGGGCATAGACTGTTCACAGTCCTCTATTTTCCTGTAAGATCGTCGCGATTGCGATTGTTTATACGAGTAGCCGCCATCTTGTTTTTTAGGCGAACGCGTCCTCTAAACACTTAGGGGACGGGCGTCAGGAAGGGTGGGGGTGGGGGTGGGAGACGGCCGCTCGTAACATTCGCGACAATCTTACGGGAAAATAGAGGACTGTGAACAGTGTAATGCAAAAACCAATAAATCACAAGCTTTTAAGAGCTTTGTCCTATCCTATCAATGGGCTATTGCATTATCTTTGTTTGTAACTATGTGTTTATTGCATAAAATTATTCTAGGTCGGTGCAGCACTGCCACAACTCCAGGAAATTCAGGTACAATTGCACTGAACATTTTTATAGTAATTATTGCTATTGTAATTGATTGATTTGCTGATTTGAATTCCTGTTAGATGCAGTAGACTTAGATGTATATGATTGATCAAATTATAAAATAATATATTGTACAGTTCCAGAAAAATCCATAACCACCCCATTGAAGGTCTCGGATATTCCTAGGGGAGGGGGTTTTAAGCCCCAAAATTTTAGAAGAAAAGTATGATGCTAAAGTGGA